TGCCTGTATTTCTTTTTTTCCTTCATTGACGACTTACCTGTAATTTCTTTTGACTAGATAAACTTTTTTTTCTTGTTTCCTAATTTCTATCCGAAAAAAATTCTAGCAAAAAAACAACGGTTGTGTCGTTTGATCGAGGTAAAGTCTCCTTCATTTTCCTGGAAAATTCTGATAGAAAACTTTAGAAATTAATGTTTCCGATTTCAGGAATTAAAAATGATTCTTGCCTTTACATTTTTTTTTCAAATTCATGTTTTTTTCCAAAACTTGAAAGTTTCAGAATTTGTTATCATGAGAAAAATTTGTAGAAGACTTGAATTGAATTGAATTGAATAAACCGAGTTTGGAGATAAAGAAAAAGTTGTTTTTTTTTTAATAGTTTTTTAGAGAAAAAGACTAACTTCATAGAATTTGAATAAGAGATAGCGAATGTGGAAGAATTTTGAATGAATTTGGTTTTATTTGTAACAATATTTGTTTTTGCTGAGTTTGGAGATAAAAAAAAAAAAAGATTTGTTAGTTTAGGAGATCTTCATAGAATTTGAAGAAGAATTTTTTAATGTATTTGGTTTTATTTGTGACAATATTTGTTTTTGCAGAGTTTGGAGATAATAATGTCCAAAACTCAATTTGAATCAACTTGTGCATCTCTTTTACAAGAACTTGAGGTTTGTGTTTGCTTTAATTCCAAGAAAAGTTTCAGAACCGTTTCAAGTTGATGTGATTATGATCCTGATGCAGATTATATGGGACGAGGTTGGAGTAACTGAAACCGAAAGAGAGAAGATTTTGATCGAGATCGAAAACGAATGTAAACAAGTCTACAATCGAAAAATCGAAAAGGTAAAAGAAGATAGGATTCGATTAAGCCAAGAGATTGCTGATTCAGAAGCAAGAGTTATAGCTATATGTTTTGTAATGGAAGAGACACCGATTCTTGGTAGACAACATCAATCTGATCAAAGTTTAAAAGAAGTGTTTAGAAAAGTTCTTCAGAAACTTGAAGAAATGGAAAAGAGAAAAGCAGAAAGAAAGAATCAATTTATTCAAGTCATTGAAGATATCAAATGTGTAAGAGATGAGATTAATGGAGAATCATCTGATGAGGCGATGGCTTGTTCATCTGATTTTTCGATTGATGAATCCGATTTATCGCTTAGAAAGCTCGAAGAGTTACACAGCGAGCTTTACACACTTCAAGAACAGAAGGTTAACATTACAAATTACCTTAAAAGTTGGTTTCATTTTCTTGATCAAAAAGTTAATATTTTGTTGTATTTTTGGCTCAGAGAAACCGAGTGAAACAGATTCAAGATCATCTAAGAACTCTCGAATCGCTTTGTTCGGTTCTCGGTTTGAATTACCAAGAAACTGTCATAAAGATTCACCCAAGTTTAGTAGAATCTGAAGGGTCAAGAAGTATAAGTAATGAGACACTTGACAAGTTAGCTTCGTCACTAGAACAATGGCATGAGACAAAGTTACAGAGAATGCAAGAAGTCAGTTAAAAATGTCTTAAAACTTTTGAAGTATCCTTAATACTCTGCTCTTTGTTCTTAGTCTTATGTATAAGACATTTTTCTTGTTTGCAGCTTCAAGATCTTGTGACAACAATGCTTGAGTTTTGGAATTTAATGGATACACCAGCAGAAGAGCAACAAAAGTTCATTGATGTCTCATGTAATATAGCAGCCACTGTTTCTGAAATAACCAAACCCAATAGTCTCTCCATTGATTTGCTTGAAGAGGTAGGTAGCTTCACAACTACTTTAAAATATCTTTCTGAGATTTTGTTTTCGACGATGGATTGTTTAATGCTTAAAAAGGTAAAAGCCGAGCTGTGTCGATTGGAGGAATTGAAGTGGAGCAAAATGAAGGAGCTAGTTTTAAAGAAACGGTCAGAACTTGAAGAGATATGCAGAAAAACCCACATTGTTCTTGAAGAACAAGAAATCGCGGTGGAGAATATAATCAAAGCCATCGAATTTGGAGATGTGAACCCTGAAAACATACTGGAACAGATCGAGTATCGAGCTGGGAAAGTGAAAGAAGAAGCTTTAAGCAGAAAAGAGATTCTTGAAAAAGCTGAGAAATGGTTGAATGCTTGTGAGGAAGAGAATTGGCTTGAAGAATATAATCAGGTTTGTCTCTTTTCGCTCTTTTAGGATTCATTTTTTGTTTACTTTGTGTAGTTTACGGATTAATTTATGATTCTTGTATAGGATGAAAACCGATACAACGCGGGAAAAGGATCTCATTTAATCCTCAAACGCGCAGAGAAAGCTCGCGCAATTGTCAATAAACTTCCAGGTTCCATATAAATGATCCCAAAGAAATGTTCATACTTGCATCTTTTTTCTTTTAGTGTCTATCTTACTGAATCTTTCCAAGGTTCTTAGCTATGGTTGAAGCATTAGTTTCCAAGATAACAATTTGGGAATCAGAGAAAGAATCTGAGTTTCTCTTTGATGGTGTATGATCTTATCTTCTTCCCTTAAACAAAACCATCTCTTCTTCTTTTTTTCTCTCTAGTCTCTACATACTTTACTGATATTTTTATTCGTTCTTTTTTCATTCAGAACCGTCTACTTTCGATGCTCGAAGAGTATACAGAACTAAGAGAAGAGAAAGAACAAGAACGTCGCAGAAAAAGGGTATTTAGCTACAACTCTTTTACGTCAACCTTTTTTCCAAGAATCACCAAAAAAAAGTGAACATTGCTTGTTTGTGTGTTTAGGATCTGAAGAAACTTCATGGTCAAGTGACATCAGAGCAAGACAAAGGAACACCTACAAAGTCTCTAATCACAAAAAAGGTCCTTAAAGTATCGACTAGTAAGAGATTCGCATCATCGCCTCAAACTCCTCAAACTGATTCACCTCTCTCAGCAAAATCTATCAGTACTCCTTTTTCACGCCATGGCTGAAAGAAGAGTAAAAGACTTCAAAAACACTCCTTAGTTCAAATGCTTAAACCTTAGTTCAAATGCTTCAAACCTGCTAATCCGGTAAGAGGGTCTCACAAAGAGTAGGAATATAAATGATTATTGGATCGTTTGTAATCTGTCAAACTCATCAGATCCAAGTAGTGTAGATACACTGATTGTGTTGCGGAAAGTATTGTTTTGACTTTGACCGACCAATGTACTTGGCTTCAAAAATCAATGTCGATTTCTTTTCGAGTGATGTATTCATGATCTTGTAGTAAAACCAAAAAATACTTTTGGTTGATTTTGTACGTAACTTCATCTATAAACATTGACGCGTAGTTTAAATCTAAATCTCAATTTGCATGAGTAATCAAATCTCAAAATATTATAGCTTATCTTTGAAAATTAAATTGGTCTTAGTAGATATTCAAAGTGGTTTTTCTTTGGTCAACGTTACTTCAAAAGTGATTAATAACTGGAAAAAGACAAAGGAGATTGTCAGAAGTTTGGTGTTCTTTTTTATTTTCTTCCTTTTTCTTTTCAAATTTCACTTTATTTTTTTTCGCAGTTTCGTTTATTTAATTACATATATTAAATTTCCGAGACGGACGTGGATCTTTCCCTAAACCAAAATCAATACTTTGATTTTTGTAATTATTAAATTGATTTCAAACTAATTAAATCTTTAATATTCGTATTAAATAATACAACTGTCTACATG